TTAAACGTGGAGATGAAATCAAATCACCCAGGAATCAGCTTTTCTTTTGCTCCTCTCTCCTCTGCCCTGCCTCACCTTTGACCCTTGTCCTGGCGAGAGCACCCACTGGTCAAGAGGGACACAGAATTAAAGAAGCAGCGATGGGGGTTTGCTCCAGGGGTATGTCATGGATTGAATTGTAACCTACCCCCACAAAGATATGTAGACATCCTCACCCCCAGGACTTAGAACATGGCCCACTTGGAAACAGGGTGGTTGCAGGGAATTAGCTAAGACGGGATCATACCGGAGGAGGTTGACCCTAACCCAATGGGACTGGTGTCCCTGTAAGACGCAGAGAGACACAGGGACAGACACGTGGCCCCGTCTCTGCCTCGAGTGACCGTCTCCTCCCGTCTGTCTGTCCCGGAGTCTCGTCTTCTACAAGGACTGGTCATGTGGGATCATGACCCTTGACCGCAACCCAACTTAGGAGGGCTTCAGGGCTAATTCTCATTAATTCTCTGTTGCTATTACTAACTATTTATTAACAAAAAAGGCAAGGAAAGAACCTAAAGTCTTACTACTTTTTAAAGTTTTTTTTCCACTTTTTAAAACTTTATTTATTTTTGGCCGTGCTGGGTCTTCCTTGCTGTGTAGCCTTTCTCTGGCTGTGGCGAGCGGGGACTGGCCCCTCTGGCTGCAGAGTGTGGGCTCTGGAGCTCCAGCTCAGAAGTCACGGCGCACCAGCTGTTCCTCCGGGCACGCGGAATCGTCCCAGGGCAGGGATCAAACCCACGCCCCCTGCCTGGGGGGCGGACTCTCAACCACTGGACCACCAGGGAAGTTCCCAGAATCTCACTTCTTTTCATATGCATTTCCATCCAGACATTTGTTCTCTGTAAATATATAATTTAAAAAAATTATTTCCCTGTCCTCCTCGTCCCCAGGCATGGAAATTTTATATCTTTTTCTAGAGAGAGGGAGAATCATTGAACTCTCAACTAAAAAGTGAAGGTGTTTATCATATAACATCGCGTAAGAAATCGCCTCATGCTGGGGAGTTGCACCTCCAGGTCGGCGGTGAGCTGAACTAAGTGCCCCAGGGCAGCGTCCCATTTTAAGGTCAAACATTACATTTTAATTTCCTTCTTTAATTATGTAAGATAACTGTTGCTCTGTGTAATAACTGTTCACATGTATATTTTTTTAAGTTTTCTCATTGGAATGCAGCTGCCTCTCACTGTTGTGCTGGTTCCCGCTCCACAAGGAGAATCAGCCGTGGGCACACATGGGCCTCCCCTTGGAATCAGCCATGGGCACACACGGGCCTCCCCTTGGGGTCAGCCGTGGGCACACACGGCCCTCCCCTTGGGGTCAGCCGTGGGCACCCATACACCCCTCCCCTTGGAATCAGCCGTGGGCACACATACACCCCTCCCCTTGGAATCAGCCGTGGGCACACACACACCCCTCCCCTTGGAATCAGCCGTGGGCACACATACACCCCTCCCCTTGGAATCAGCCGTGGGCACACACGGCCCTCCCCTTGGGGTCAGCCGTGGGCACCCATACACCCCTCCCCTTGGGATCAGCCGTGGGCACACATACACCCCTCCCCTTGG